TAGAGAGAATACCTGTATATAGAGAGAATACCTGTATATAGAGAGAATACCTGTATATAGAGAGAATACCTGTATATATAGAGAATACCTGTATACAGAGAGGATACCTGTATATATCGAGAAAGAAATGTATATGAAGAAAATGGCTCACACCCTTGTAGAAGCAGACCAGTCTGCATCTAGGTAGGTTCCAAGTCTGTGGGCCAAATGTCAAGCTGGAGGCTTATCCTGATTCACATACCTGTGGTTGCTGATGAAGCCAAGATCACCTGGAAGGTGGCTACAGACCTATGAATCTAAGGTCAGCAGGGCAGGCTTGGGACTGCAGAGGTGAATGGATCCAAGGCAGGCAGTTCAGATGGCAGGCCACTGGTGCCTCTCAGGATTGAGAGGCAATATGGTAGGTCGTTGGCTCATGTCCAAAGAACCAGAGGTTGATGAGCAGGATGCAGGACACAGACCGAGCAAAAAATCAAGCAAACTTTTCCACAGCATCCACTTATATTGGAAGCAAGTAACATTCCAAGGAAATTTCCTTTCAATTGCATCAAGACTCTGATCTAAGTAAGGGCATCACATTCCACCTAATCATATCCTATTTTCAGGCTTACAACAATTGGCTGTGATTACATTGTGCTAGGCCCGGTCATGAGGAATTACTAGGTGTTAACTGCCAAGCCACTGAGAATCCTGGCCCAGCCAAGTCGATATAAAACCTAACGATCAATCACAATGGGTATTGAGTTTGTGTTTGGTGTGCTGACAAAGTTTTGGAAATAGATAGTGGTGATGGTTGCAAAAACCCAAACAAGCCCAAGATGGTCACGAAACACCACTCTCCTCTTACCTACCTCCATCTCCCCCAGCACCCCCACCTAGTGGAACTCACAGTGTTAGCTGAACCCTCCGCCCTCCAGTTTTGAGTTTCCTTTTTGTTTCTGGCATTAGTTATGCCCCTTACTCTCTTTCACACGCTGCTCTGCATTTAAAAGAATATCTCTTTAATTGTATCTGCTCATCCTGTTCTCCCAGGAGTTTGTGACAGGAAGATTTCTTCAGGCTATTTCGTGTCCCACATGAGTATGCCCATCCTGGGGAGGCACACCAGGGATTTCCAGAAGATGCTATTTCACAGCCAAACGTCTCCTCAAGGAAATGTTTGAGAAGCTGCTGCTTGGGAGAGGGTGGCAGGCAGTGTTCCCAGGGCACTGCCTCTGTGTGCCCAGGAGCTGGGTATCAGGATGACAACTGCTGCACTAGGCGATGACGTGGTATCAGCCAACAGGTGGCCAGCTCATTGGGCCTTTGGAGTGCTTGTGTCCCCATTTGTTGGTACTTGCTACCAGTCAGCTCCAACTCACCGAGATCTCAGGCCCAGCGGACTGAATGCTGCCTG